ATCAACACAGGTTAAAACCGACAAACTTGGAAAAGCCAGGTTTTTCAAGATATGCCGTCCGTGTGCCAGCAAGCGGACGGCATGTGCTTTTCCATTATGAAACACTCGCAGATTTATAGTGACGAATGGAACACCATTTCCCCCAATTTCCGGAAAAGAGAACAACCTCGGGAACTATACCCAATTTTTTTGGAAAATTCCGTCCCGGGAATTACTGTTCCATTTTATTGTCATCCCGGAATTTCCTGAATTTTTGGTTGAATGGTTCGCATTTCAGAAATTTTAAAACAATTCTTGACAGGAACTTTACAAGGAAATTTCCGTACCATTTGCCCCCGTTTCAAAAGTTTTGGATTTTTTTGTTATGACGTGTCAAGTTTGAATGAGCCCAGGATTCTGAAGTCTTAAACTGCGTCTTTAATGTAAGTTCGAATTGTCAATGTTTTTCAGCTGGTCAGGCAATGGAAACCTTGGATAAATACAGACAGTATTTGTATGTATAGGAATAGTAATAAACAACATCATCTATTCATCATATTAATATATTCAGATAAAGCGATAATGCGTTTATGTAAAGTAATATATATTCTAATACGGTAAGAATTTTTTTAGCAAGTAAACTGAGATTTAAAGAGTGGTTCGGTCCATAAAAAGCTGTGATTTAAATTATGGACTCTATACCAGTTGTGATCGATCCTAGAAAAACGAAAAGAGATTGTCCCAAGCAGTTTTTTGAGCTGATAAATCTTAGATGTATGCAGTGTATTGAGTAGCATCTCCAGTTAATCGATAACTCAGTGAATGAAGTTAATTAGGGTAGCTGATTATTCCCTCTTACACTGCCATCATTTCTGTCCTAGCGTAAAATACTAGATTGTTTCCGGGATCGCATTGTGAAACGAAACTCGTTGGTTGGGCTTTTAACTTTAGAGTTCGTACTGAATTTCTCTATTCTCGAGTTTTGTTACTGTAGGTTTTTTAATTGAGTGTCGTAAAATCAAACCCCAGGGTAGGACGCAGACAATCCAATGAAACAAAGAAAACTCGAAGCAAATACATGTAGCTGACGAGAAGCGCGGGAAAACGTGTGTGAGCGAGTCAAGATTGGTTTTGGTTTTACTTCTGATTGGATGCAAAAGTGGCGCGAGTTTCTTCTGAGGCCATCGTCTAGCGTAGTAATACAATACCAGTTACTTCTCTGAGTAAAAATTGCTTTAAACAGGACCGCATTAACGACTTCGTGTTGTGTATAATGTAGTACATTAATGAGTTACTAGGTCTCCACTTTGCTGCATTACCATTTCTAATAAATTGATTGGTGTAGGAGTAAGGAATTAAAATACGGGGTAAATAAACAATTATTACCGTATAAACTACTGGGTTATGTTTTCTTTCTTAAATTTGATGATTTTCAGTGTGTGTTCTCGCAGGTTACCCTTTATTCTTTCCTTTAGGATACCCCCTAAATTCTTCATTCTTCCAATGTGGGTTCCCACAGGGTACCTCCTATTTCCCCCGTATACTTCCGCTGTGGATTCTCACAGGTCCCTGTGCTTCCACTATGGGTTTCCCAGCCGTGGTACCCTCTATTTTGCCCCTTCTTCTCCTGTGAGGTCCCGCAGGGTAGTCCCTATTTTCCCCGTATTTCCACTGTGGGTTCCCCATGCGTTTACGTGACCATTTCACCGCGGGTTCGTCCATCTAACGTGCTGTCCCATTTCGCGCGCGATTTGCTCACTTTCTCCCGTGCATCCTCAAATGCATCGTTGCCATAGAGTAAGCATTACATGGCTCCCCCGTTCATATACTGCGGGTGCACCCCAGAGATCACCGTGGGTTGCCTGTGAATTTCCCTATTTGTGTTCCCTCTGAGCTCCCTGCGAGTTCCATGTGAATATCGTTTTAGCTCCTATGGCCATTTAGTCTCTCACAGCTTATTTAGAGCAAAAGTGCACGGAATTCGAACAAAATCAAATTTTCGCAAGATTGGAGAACTCAACTTCGCTCGTGTTTTGCACATGAATGCAAACAGGTTGTGATTTTTTCCCTTGGAAGATTTTGTCTTTCGCAGAAAAACGACATTTTCGATTCAGTAACCGTCAGACTCAGTTTAGCGACTGAAAATCGACCATTTTCATTCCATTCACATGTCGCAACTTTTGAGCGCAGAAAAGTTCCTTGTCCAACAAAG